TGCCTTTATCAACCCTTTGTACTTATTAATTAGTTCCTCTGACCTACCTTTCCCTACATCATTAGCCCCTACATGCACTACAAAAACTGCACTTCTGCTAGCCCCCTTTATTATATCTCTTGCTCTGTCAGTTATATCCTCCACCTGTGCCCCTGGGTAGCATAATCTGATTCTTTTCTCACTTTATTTGTTTATTTGTATGTAAAATTAGGAAGGCAGCATGTCTCAATCCAGTGGCAGTAATAAAGACAAGGGTAGAAAAGACAATGGGAAAAAAAGTCAAAGAAAAAAGTCTATTGGAAAAAAAAAAGACAAGGATAATTACACAAACAAGTAAAGAGTAAAAAATATATATATAGATGGATGTACAAAGCAAACAAATTATAAGAAAGGATAAACAGAACAGTAGGGTTTAATAGCAAGTATTGAACAATCATGGGAAGCCTATAGGCTTTAATAGCAAGTATTGAACAATCAGGGGAAGCCTATAGGGTTTAATAGCAAGTGATCAGTAATAATGGGTCACCTATAAGGGGAAGCTAATAATGGGAAGCCACTGATTAGAAAACTGTATTAATAACAGGTTAATTAATAACTCAGTTGGTTTACATGGTTTCGATAATTGGCTTAGGCCCAGATTAGCTGTTATTGATACTGTTTTCCAAGATACATTTTGACTTTTTTATTTGTTTGTGTAATTTTATTTTTTACCTTTGTCTTTTTTTTCAGATTGACTTTTTTCTTTGTTTTTTTTTTTTACTCTTGAGTTTATTATCTAAATTGTCTCAATCTGTCTCTTGCAGCTGCAGGAATATTCTTTCTTAATGATGATGGTAAAACATACTTGGTTATCTTACAACCATTCTTCACCTTTGATTGATTTTAATATCTTTAGAATCACAAAAAATCGTCTACATATGGAACTCTTTTCAAATTAAGTTAATGACAAAAGAGCATCCTCTTTTGAATCTTTTTTTGCATTGAGAAAATGTACATGTAATTTTTCTTATGTTTTTGTTTTTAATAGAAGCTTCAGCAATGTTGCAGTCTGTTCCAGTCACTGTTTTTTCTTGTCTTGTTGCTATGACCATTGTGGGGTTGACTACTGTTATTATCTTAACTTGGAGTAAATGTAAAAATTTAAAGTTTGTTCCTGTTGCCCGAATAAAGAAAATTATCTTGTATCCTGTGAAGTCTTTAAGAGGAGTAGAACTGGAACATGTGGAGTGCACAGAATTGGGGTTAAGAGCAGGGAGCTGGAGAGATAGGTAATTCTTTGATGTTTTCACTTCTCTGCTTTGATAAACTATCATAACTTAAAATGTTTTTGACTAAAGGGTGCACTTTTAACTCCTGAAATTGGCAACAATATGTATGAAATAGTTTAATCATTGATTTCACTATGAGTGTTTGCTGAGGCTAGTATGTAACCTTGAAAAGCAAAAGTTAGTGACATAATGCTGTTTTCTATATATAATCATAATTATGACTTTTCTAAAGTCCTTGTAAGTTTTTGACATGTAATTTGTAGATACGGTATTCTTGAACTTTGGTTAAGATTTGAGTACACAGTAGACTGAATTCAGTGAAAGTTTTGATCTTCATAGTATTATTTTTCATGCAAAATAAATTTCTATAATGTTTGATTAGAGATTTGGTGGGTGGCTGGTCTGTTATTAATGTTAGATTGTTAACCATCATGTTTAAACTACTTACAGTTAATGCATTTCTAAACTATATTAGAATCAAGTTATGAGCCTTCACTTTTTATAAATAAAGTTCAGTCAAACTTGATTAATGTCATGCTCAGTGTTAGGATCTTTGCTTTTGTTTTATTTACGTCAATGACATAGATGAAGGAATGATCAATAGATTATTTAATAACATTAAAGTTTTGGGTGGTGCTGGCTATAAAGAGGATGTTATTGCTTTCCAAAAGGATTTGGATTATTTAGTTAGTTGGGTGAATAAATGGCATATACTTTTAAGGATAGTAAATGCAAAGTAATGCATGTGGGGTATCAAGTTTTGAATAATGAGTATAATTTTGATGGGAATGTCCTTAAAAGTGTTATGGAAGAAAAATATCTTGGTGTTCTGGTACATCAGTCTCTTAAACTATCCAAGCAATGTGCTGTTGCTAGTAACAAGGCAAATAGAATTTTAAGTTGTATGTACAGACATAGGACATTGGTTAGGGCACATTTGGAGTATTGTGTTCAATCTTGGGCTCCTTATCTTAGAAAGAATATTGAATTGTTGGAAAGGGTTGAAATTAGGGTGACTAGAATGTTACCTGGGATGGGAAAGTCATTAAAAAAGGACAGGTTAAAATCTCTGAATTGTTTTCCCTTGAAAGAAAAAGAAGAGTTAGAGAGGATCTTATTGAGGTGTTTAAGATTGTTAAGGGAATTGATAGTGTTGCTGCATCATCTTTTTTTCATTCTTTATGGTAAGAATGGTAGGACCAGGAGACACACATAAATTTGGGCAGGGTAGGAGTCATCTTCAGCTGAAACAGCTGTATTTTTCTAAAAATGTGATTGCCTTCAGATGTGGTGGATGCAGTTAATTTAAGGTAGTTTAAGTGAAAGCTTGATAAATATTTAAATGATAAGGGCTGGCTTTGAGTTTTATAATGTTTTGTTTAATTTATTGGAAAGGACAGCCTAGTTGAACCAAAAGGACAATTGTTGTCCTTTAATGTTGTGTTATGTTAGCAGGTTTTCTAGCATATATATATATTTTTGGGGTTTTATTAATCTGTTATTCATACAATATAGTGTAGGGCATATGTAATCCACTGGAAAAGTTGTGTTAATGTTTTGCACTAGGCATAGTTCTATTGTTTATATCATTACAAATAAAATCTTAGTGCCACTTTTGCTTTTGAACTTCAAGGTCATTTAGAGATCAAAAATGTGAAATTGCAAATATATACAAAAATAACACTTTGTATTCACAAAATACAGATAAACTAGAACCCTTATAAAAATCAAATATAAAATAAACCTCATCAAGTTAACATAACAAGCTTTTATGTAATATGGAGGAGTGTAATATACTATTTTTACTAGAAGGGGGACTGATCTCTTTTTTTTTTTATTTTTTTTTATGTTTAAAGTTAATTCACTGATGATGTCATCAGAAATGTTGATGGAAAGTTCACACTTTATTTTCAGTTATATGAAAACTGGTTTAGATTAAAACTGCACAAATTAATATTCCTACTTGGATTTGAGTTTTGTATACTCTTTCAAAATCTTTATTAACCATTGTGTTGATATACTGGTCAACTGTGTAAAGATTGGTATGTATCAATTTGTAACTTAATTCTAAAATGGCAAACATAAACATTTGTGTATCATTTATATATAGCTGCATCATGCTCATCTCATGATTCTAAATTATATAATTTAATATAGTGTTGTTTTAAAGATAGAATATTAATTTTTGTGGTAGGAAAGATATACTAATCTGAAGGTCACATAACCATGAGGTACTTTCTACCACACGTTTCATTACATAACTGACTTCTGGTACTTTAAAATGAGTTTGTTAAACTTGATTAATTAAGAAATTTGAAGGTGGCAAGTAGATCTGCTGATTAACATCAAATACAATCATTGTGAAACAAAATATTACATAAAGTATGTCTAACAGCAAATAAAATGTTTGTATCATTGTAAGACATGAATGACAGATTTTCATAACATTTTTTATCCAAACAAAAATGTTATTAAAGTAAAACTATTACAGCAATTTTTTGTTTACTTATTCCTAAAAAGAGTTTTAACTTATTTGCCTTCTTTATTTTAGGTGCTTCATGATTGTTAAGAGTGGTGGAAATTTCATCACACAGAGACAGGAGCCTCAACTGGCCCTTTTAACACCATCTTTACATGGAAATCAGTTGCATATCGATGGTCCAGGAATGAAGACATTAAAAGTAGAATGTCTAAAAAAATTAAAACTTGGTGTAAAAGTATCAAAATGTAGGTAAGCATGTAACACCAACAATATAAATTTAGGATATTGAAACTTAATTTCAGTTATCACTTTCTGAAATCACAGATAAACAATTTCTTAAGTTAACAAAAATTTATTTCTTCACTCCAACAGTTAATGACCTTATGTAGCTTAGGTTTCAACTTCTAGCCAGAGATCCTAACCTTGCACCTATTTCTTACTGTAAAACATTATAGTTTTGATACGGTTTTTATTATTCTTTTATAGGGGATGAATATATTGGATGTAGAGAGTAATAGTTAGGGTAGTGCTGTTTCATAGAGAATGAGTGAATTAAGTACTTGAATTATAAACCCTTTAGCTAGAATGATTTCAGTAAAAGTTGGGTGGAATCTATATACTGCATTAGTAAAATATTTTGACATTATAGTAATTGTGAGTTATGCTTGAAGTTTGTGTGCTGGTCATCTCAATTGACAGAGCAACAGCTTTAGACCACTTGTATCACATAAGCTTTTTAGGTTCAAGTCCTGGTTAGGAAAGATTTATTAACATACTTATTTGTTAAATTGGTACTTTACCAGTTATTATTCCACCCATGAAAGCCACTCAGAGCTGAGTACATGGTAAATCAAACCAATAGTGAACCTGCTTGGCTCAATGGTCGGACTAGTGTACTGTTTGTAAGATTAACAATATTGTGTGTGTTTATCTTGTTGGATTGAAGGCTTATGAATAAGATTTGTTTTATTGGAGGTGGGGAGGTATTATAATTATCAGGATAAAAATTATATGCTTTTATAGAGCATTAACATGCAAGCATGAAATTACACCAAAGGTCTTGGGTTAAAGAACAGGTCTGGTCAGATTGAACATTATAATTCTTTATGGTATGCATATGTAGGCTTCTATCTTTAGATTTATGAAGTAAGCTGATCTTTTAGACATCACTTAAAATGGCTTGTTTGTGCAAATTTATTTCTGTTCTTCCATTCATTCTTCAAATGATAATTTGTTACAAGAAATAATTACATTTATCTTGGAGCTATTAAGGTTTATGGAATAACTTATCTGATTATGATGTTTTTCTGTATGTTGTCTGAATTATTTTAAAATTAATGGACAATATATTAATGGTTGAGGAAGGTTTATGTAATAAGAAAAGTTGCATGATAAGTGAATTTATTGAGTTGAATGGTCTTTTGTGACCTTATGTTATTCCAACCTTTATTTCCTGGTAGTTGATCCAATCAAGCTGAAAGTTTAACCTTCAATTCTGTTAAGGCTGTTGTTTTTTTTAAACTACTTAAGCTACATTAAATTTCTATTTGATAATAAGGTCTTTGAGTTATTTTTTGATTTTTAGGTGTACTCTATGCTTTGATGATTTGGACCTTTTATTTATCTAATTTTAAAGTATAAATTATGCTATTTAAAAAAAAAATTCAAATTTAGAAAGTAAAAAAAATCTTCCTTTTATTTTACCAGTTAGTTTTAAAAAGCATTATAAATATGCTTTTCTGTGTATCTGTGTACTATTGTAAATATACCTTATATTTTCTATACCAGAATATTCCATGATTATGTTGAAACAGTTGATTGTGGAGATGAAGCAGCAACATGGATTCAGAATTATCTGAGACAAGATGATCTTCGATTTGTCCAGTTTTTACCAGACTTCAAACCAAGATGTGCCAGTGTCAAAATGGGAGTTTTTCATAAGCCCAAAGAATATTTGGTAAGTTTTCACTTTTTTGAAGATATCTAAAAGTACAGAAGCAAATCTAATACACATAATTTTATTGGTGCTTCTAAAATATTCCTGAAATCAACAGTTTTCCTTAGTTTTGTAGCAGTTGTTTTAAGTCATAAATGAGTGTTTTTATCCATGAAGCCATTTGTACTGTAGAAACTGAACAAACCTAGAGTATAAAAGGTGCATAATTTTAAGAGTAGGAAGTGGTGTCATTGGTGCTTTTGACACATTTTAAACTGAGATAAAATTTAATTTTCTTGAGAAAGTCGTATGTGTTATCTTTCGTTTCATTACTTTACCTCTTCACAAAGGTGTTTTTTGTTTTTTCTCTCTGTATAAAATTTCTTGATCTAGATATTTTCTGTAGTTTCTCTGTACAACTTTGTGTATTCAAAATGCAATGTGTATAAATTTACTAGTATTTTATATGAAATAAATGAAAAGATATGTAGTTCTTATTAAAATCTTGGAGGATTCTTAATATATAGATATTAAAATTTTATATTAATTTGTAAAATGTATTCAGAAGAATGTTTATAATGTTATTTCTGAAACACTTAATCAATTTTTCTCGATGGCAGAAATTACAATAGTCATACGTGATTACTGCGGGTTTCTCTTCAGTGTTATTACTATGTTTTCTTTTAGTACTGTTCTGGTGTTTATTGTTTATTTTCTTTATTTTACTAAAAGAATTTTGGAAGAATTTTTATGAATACACACGTTCATGTCTTATGCCTGATGCTTCTCCTCTACTACTTCACAAGTCTGATGTTATTTGGGTGTTGAAGGGGGAAGGACACCTTCTGCGAAGGACGTACAGTTCTTCATAAGTAGAGAGGTAGAGTCTTACATGTGCTCTGATGTTTTTTCTCTTGTTGACTCTGAGGCTGAGCTTGTGGGGGATCAAGAGCGGACAGGTGAGAATTTAAACTGTATATTTCTGGCACCTTTGCTCAGAGAGCTAATTATGAGACTCATACAGACATACTGCCTCCTTTGCCTTTTTTGCAACTAGTACGCCAAGTTTTTTTGTGTTTTGAGTATTTCTCCTGTAGCTTACAAATCTTCTCCTTCTTTATTGGGGGAAAATCATTCATCTGATTATTTGGTCCTACCACCTTTACCAGACATTGCTGTGCATGCAAGGAGATTTGCTGATTATTGAAAGAGAGTGCTGCCATGCCTTGTCCAGGACATTTATTGGAATAGCATGGCTTGGCTTTCCATCGCCTGGAGAACCCTTATTTGGACTCTCAGAGGTTAGATCCTCTTCTTCCTATTTGTGTCTCTAGACAAGATTCCATGGTTTGCCTTAATCAATCTCAGTTTTCCAGAATTCGTCTGCCACTTACAACTGTTTTGCCTTTTTTATTATCTTTGCAACTGTTGTCTGAGGCTAATCACAGATCTCCTGTGCAATTTTGGGATGATCTTAGTCCTTTATTGACTTCTACTTTAGTCATGCTATTGGCTTCTGCTCTCTCCTTAGTATCTTGGTTGGTTTGTTGTTGGGATCTTTTGGGCAGAGATGTCTTGCTGGAGGGAGTTTGCCTTCCTGCTTCAGTCCTTAGAGACCTCAGAGAATCTTCTTTTCTCAGACAGTCTATTTTTTCTGGTATTCTCGATTCTGTGGAACCTCAAGTGGATGTGGCCTGTCTCCACTCTTCCCTCTCTAACCTAGCTTCTTGACTGACCCAAAGGTTTCCTACAGGATGGTTTCCTGCATCTCCTGTTCAAGTTTCCAAACCTCTGGCTTTGGTGCCACGATCCATTGGAACACAAAGGTGATTCTGACTTTACCAGCAGGTATCCTCCTCAAGAGTGGAGAACAGACTACAGTGTCGGTGACTACCTTATAGGATCAGGTCCTATGGGGTCTCGACTCGGAAGATTTATGTCAGTACTGGAGACCTTCACCACTTATCTGTGAATCATTCAAGTTCTCAGGAGAGGGTTGGTCATTCAGTTCACGTCTCCTGCTCCATTGTCTCTCATACCAGTTGCTTGTCCACAACCCAAGGATCCTCTTACATACAGCCATCCAGGATCTTTGACACAACAGGCCATAGAGCACGTCGACTCCTCTTGATGGATTTTATTCCTGGCTGTTTGTAGCACCAACACTGAAGGGCAACTGGCATCCTGTCATTGACCTTTCTTGTCTCAGTCTCCTCCATCCTCCTCCCTAAATAGCACAACAATGTCAGCCTAATGTTGGCCAAACAATGGCAGAAATATTGGGCCAGCATTGGATACCAGAATAGGTGTGGCATCAAAATGCACAGTGGGTCAATATCAGCCTGACCCCTTTGGTTCTACATCAGCCGCCAATTCTATACCGACTTCCGTTGTATATATATATTTACTGGTTATAGGATATAAACAAATTTGCATATTATACTATTGAAATATCTTGTGTATGACTTATTTAACATTCAAATATATTTTGTTGTTAATTTATGTGCTTGATTAATGATTTTCATAACAACCTATACTTTTCAATTATATATATGTAAAGAATATTTTTTGATATTGACTGGTTAAATGCTATAGTGCTTTTTTTTCCCCTTCTAAAAATTTCAAACGTTTTAATTTTTGGATCACATAAAAGAAATTGAGCTAATCATTTCTCTAATAGGAATATGCTGCTTCATTTAACTCAGATTTAATTTATACTTGCAACAACTCTCAACATTAGAAATGTTAGTACAGTATGTGAATGCATAACTAGTTTGTATTTAAATCTTATAAATCAAAAGCTTAAAACCATTAACAGAAATGAATGTTTATTATTTCAGTATATAATACAACTTACATTGAAAGTAATAAAGGATGTTTTTTTTTACATTTGTTATTGTGAAAAAAATGTACATATATATATACTGTCAGTCTGTGCCTTCAGTCTGTTTATGAACATATCTTTCCTTCCTGCCTACATCACGGTCAGCTGCCAACTGGAACCATCTTTTCATGAATGATTCTATCTCATCATCTGTAGCATTTGATGAAAATGAGTTCTTTCTAACAGCATCTGTTTGATAAGAATTCAGAATTATTATATACGTACTAATTTTTTTACTATGCTGGAATAGGTGTAGAATAGGATGCAAAGAAAATATAAATTTCTTATATCATTATTGGCAGGGTATGCAATTGGTGCCTTTTAATAGTAGTAATTATGTGGGTAAGTTTCAGGCTTCTAAAATTATATCTTGTACTGCTGCGAGGAGGGTTATTTTTCTTACAATGTCCATAATCAACGTATAAGAGAAATCAAAGTACCATAACTTTGGATATGCAATGTTTAGCTAATTTAGGAATTTTATATCCTAAATTACCCAGACCTCCCCATGAGGAGGTAGTTGCATATCGAGTTACACCCATACCCATACAACCAGAATTAGTGGTTTATGTATTATTTCTTAGTATTAAATCTTTTCCTGATTTTGCGAGATTGAAGTTTTGTTTTAATGAATCCCTTTCTTCTGCAATAGCCACAAACAGCTGCTGAAGCTTCTGTTACTATTTTAACATGCCTTTCAACTGCTTGTGTGTGTGTCATGGCATGCTGAACATGAAAACTGGTGTGTCATCTTGATTAATGAAAGACACCAACTGTTCATTGCTTATATTTTTTGTGGCTCTACACTCATTCCATATTATTAGATCAGTGTAACATTGTATTAATATTTGGAACCACAAACTGTCTCAATGTGCTAGAATTTAAGGTAGATTGAGCAGCTAATATGATTCAAAGAGCAAGTTGTCTGATAGCCTTAGAATCATCTCCAAGCATTGCAAGCAGCAAATTTTCCGGGTGGG